GGTGTCCCCAGGTAACTGGAGAGATACTCACTGCTAAATTGGAAGTAGATGGGAGTATGGTATATTTTAAGTAGAAGAGAATTATTACCTAGACAATGGAGCATATCTAAGTAAGCTGGGTGGTTACACAGTAATAACTGCACCTCGAATCTGGAGGTTTCATTGGTAGAATCATGAGCAAGAAGATAATATGTTCGACTACTTTAAATAAAACTGCTCACAGTGACGATGAGGGCCTAATTTGGGCTGTTAGCAATAGATTTATTTCAAAGGGAACTGATGTGAGAAATGTTTAGGAGATAAATTAGGTCAATTTATTTTAACTTATTAATTAAAAAAAAATCAAAAACATTGCTATTTCTTTTCATTCTTTGTCATCCAGGTGTCTATTCTTAATCTGACAGTAACATGTGATCTTGAACAAGATACCTAACTTCTTTTCACACTAGGTTTCACATTTTAAAACAGCAAAGAGTTGACCCAAATAAACACTGTGGTCTCTTTAAACCCTAAACTTTATAATCCTATGAATTAAATTCATCTCTCATTGAATAGTACAACCATAAAATATATTCTAAAAGCCTACCACAAGACCTGGAATATATTTAAATATACATTGTGTTACTAACTTTAAAGCTACCTAGCCAGCAGGTCTGAAAATTTGAGACTTTTAAAATCCTCCTTCTTCTTCACCCACGGCATTCATTACTGGGTCCAGTTAATTTGCACTTATGTCCTACTGACGATTCTTTGGTTTATGCCCTTATTGTTTTTTAGCTGAGCTCCTGCAATAGTAGTTGGTGAGTCCCCTGGCTCTAATCTAAACCCCCTTCAAACATGATTCAAGAAACTGCTTGGTGACTCAGTGGTAAAGAATCCGCCTGCCATGTAGAAGTTCAACCCCCGATCCTGGAAAATCCCACCTGCATGGAGGAAGTAAGCCCGTGCACCACAACAGCTGAGCGCTCACCCTCGAGCCCACCAGCCTCAACAACTGAGCCCACATACTGCAACTCCTGAAGCCCGGGTACCTAGAGTCTGTGCTGCATAACAAGAGAAGACCGCTCCCACGAGAAACCCACAGTAACACAACTAGAGAGCAGCCCCCGCTCACCACAACTGGAGAAAGTGAAGCAACTCGCAGCAATGAAGATCCAGAACAACCAAAAATAAATAAATAAAATAATAAATTTAAAAAAAAGAAACTAAAGAACTCTGGAGTCAGAAAGACCTGGGCTTAAATGCTAAATCCTCTGCTTCTTAGTTATGTGACTGCTAGCAAGTTATTTGACCTCTCTAAACCTGAGTTTCCTTATCTATACATCATACGGATGATAGGAGGATTAAATGTTTGTAAAGTGCTTAGCACAGTGCTTATTACACAGCAAGAACTCCATAAGTGCTAGCTGTCATTCTGAAAGACTAGTCTCATAAAGACTTGCGCAGGCACTTCACAATAGAAGATCAAATGGCCAATAAAAATTTTAAAAAATTCTTCCTCCTTAGTAGTCAGCAAATGCAAACTACTACTTCCATGAGTATAATTAGGTATCCACCTGATCAGCAAATTCTGAGAACTTAAAAATGAAACATTGGTGAGAATATAGAGCTTCTTATATACTGCTGGTGGGAATGTAAATTCATGCAATCAATTGAGGAAAATATTTGGCAATATTTAGAAAAACAATGTGCACATACCCCAAAATCAAGAGTTCCTTTCCTTGATATGTATCCTGAGAAGTTCTTATACATGTACTATAGAATCTATGAGCAATACTATATATGCATAAAGAACCATATGTATACTTAATGTTACTATATATAAATATATGTACTTATTTAAAATTTATCAGGTTAATAATCAGGGTTGACTTCCTTTTGGACTGACAGAAGGAAATCAGCTCCAATACTTTGGCCACCTGATGAAAAGAGCTGACTCATTGGAAAAGACCCTGTTGCTGGGAAAGACTGAAGGCAAAAGGAGAAGAGGATGAGATGGTTAGATAGCATCATGGACACAATGGACATGAATTTAAGCAAACTCCAGGAGATAGTGAAGGACAGGGAAGCCTTGGCATGCAGCAGCTCATAGGGTTGCAAATAGTTGGACATGACTTAGTGACTGAACAACAACAATACACTCATACAGACACACATAAGTAATATAGGAACAATCCAAATGTCTATCCATGGTGAAATGGATAAGTAAACTCTGATGTTTTCACAGAGTAAAATACTACATAAGTGACTTGAATAAACTACATACATTAACATGAGTCTTACAGTGTTTCACAGGCTTCCCTGATAGCTCAGTTGGTAAAGAATCCATCTGCAATGCAAGAGACCCCAGTTCAATTCCTGGGTTGGGAAGATCTGCTGGAGAAGGGATCGGCTACCAGTATTCTGTCCTGGACAATTCCAAGGACTGTATAGTCCATGGGATCTCAAAGAGTTGGACACAACTGAGCAACTTTCGCTTTCACTAGAGTGTTTCATAAAATCAAGTGATTAAGAATATATATACTACCATGGCTCCCCTGGTGGCTCAGAGAGTAAAGAATCTGCCTGCAGTGCAGGAGACCCAGGTTCAATCCCTGGGTCAGGAAGATACCCTGGAGAAGGGAACGGCAACCCACTCCAGCATTCTTGCCCAAAGAATTCCATGGACAGAGGAACCTGATGGGCTATAGTCCATGGGGTCGCAAAGTTGCTCAGACACGACTAAGAAACTGTCACTTTCTTTCACCATGATTACAAGACTGAAAACCTACAAAGAAAGGCAAGGGGATCAGTGACAAAAGGCAGAGTAGTGGTTTCCTTTAGCGGGGAAGGAAAAGCATGTGGTCTTAAAGGAGCACAAAGGGCTTACTGGGAGTCTACTTGGTGGTTATACAAGGTTTGCTCTGTAATTATTCTTTAAACTGAATTTGTTTTATGTACTCTTCAAGGTACATGGTATTTTCTAAAAAACAAGCTTCATCACATCATTCTACTTAAAATCTTTCAGAGGTTCTTTATTTTGGAATAAAATACAAACTCCTTAGCCTTGTCTTAAAAACCTTTTCATGCTATATCTCCTCTACCTTTCTTCAGCTTTATCTTCACCACCCCCACTTATGCCCCAGCACAGTAAATGACATCTAGTTCCCCGCATCAATCATGCTCCCTCAAGTCTCTAGGCCCTTGAAAAATGTTCTCACTATTCCCCTTCTTCTAGCTAACCTCTTATTGTCCTTAACATTCAGCTAAAACCTCGTTCCCTCTGGGAAGCCTTCCCTACCAAGCCCCCATCCCATCTGTCTTAGACTCTCCTCTGCGGCACTTCCTTCAGCACTGGATGGCTACCCATTTAACAGCAGTGGATAAGCACCCCACCCCTTAGAAATCACTCCCTTTTTTAATGACACACTTTATCATAAGTGTCACATACTTTAAACACAGCTCCTTTAAAGCAGGTGCTGTCTTTTTCATCTATCCCAAGTGCAAAGGATGATATCTATACTACAGATCCGCAGTAAATGTTTACTTAATGAATACATGTTTAAGAGGGGGCAATATATATTTTTGACATCCCTGGGAGTGACCCATAACTCAAAATATTAAGTTCAGCCATAAAAAAATCACTCTTGTTTGAAATCAAAATGGTTGATTACTGGCAATTACATATGTTTCTCATTCCTAACAAACATTCATTTAACACATATTGATTAAGTACAGCATAGTGATGACTATTATATCTGCTTCCTCATTGTAATCGTAATCAGACTATAATGAGAATCATGATGTGAAATAAGTACAAGGTTAATTTCATCAATCCTCCACAGTTATGGGTTATGCATTGATTCATAGGGCGGCCTATATACCCAGAGTTATATAAGCCACTAAACAAATGAAAGAGAGATACCGCTCACTAGTTCAAAACAGCTTCTTTTGGAGTCTTACAAGCATCACTGTCATAATCTGTTTCTCAGAGATGTTGTTTGACAGATTATACCTGGTTCATCTCTGCTGGAGTCTATTGATTATTGACATTGGCAACTATGAAGCATCAAGTATTTGGTTAAAATATATATTTTCCCTATGTGAACTGACATTTTTATAAAGTAATAAGATTTTAAAATGATTCCAACTAGGATCTATTTTTAATACTATCTTTATTAAGCAAAGAATTTGTAGGCTAAAATGTCCACAAATCGAGTTTTATAAAACTATGATAAGGTTTCTCTTCCCTTATGTCTAAAGAGCTAAATGCTATTTAAATATATATCACATATATCTTACACACATATATATGTACATGCATGCTGTGTGTATGCTAAGTCGCTTCAGTCGTGTCTGACTCTTTGCGAACCTATATGGACTGTAGCCCGCCAGGTTCTTCTGTCCATGGGATTCTCCAGGCAAGAATACTGGAGTGGGTTGCTATGCCCACCTCCAGGGGAGCTTCCCGACCCAGAGATCGAATCAGCGTCTCCTGTGTCTTCAGCATCTCTTGTGTCTCCTGCATTAGCAGGTGGGTGGGTTCTTTACCACCAGCACCACCTGGGAAGCCCCATATACAAGCATATATGTTCCTAAAAGGAATTAAGTGTTAGAGTTTAGCTCAGAACCAGTATTCTACTAGAGATGAAGAAGCAGTAAAATGTACAATTATGTTGCAGATAATAAAAGCCACCGAAAAATACTGTTATGTAAATATCCAACTGTTATGCAGCCACAGGAAATTGCTCACTGCAACCATCTTACTTAGACTAGTATCATCCAGGGTGGTAGCATCATGGTGCTGTATGGGGCACTTATGCACCTAAAGACCTCAAGCTCCTTCACATGGTATTAATAGCACCACACCATCAGTTGAACATTGATTTTCACCTCTTTAGTTGACAGGATTTGGGAGCAGTATTTCTTCAGATCCACACACTAAATCATATGCAACATTGAAATTGGTTATATAGATCACATGTTTCCTGCTAAGGAATGTTTTTAAGTTTGCAACTCACCACTGCTTGTATGGTTTCTCATCTACAGGAAATGGGTCTAATTCAACAGCTTCTTGCCTGAGTTGCCATAACAGAGATCTGAGATGGTGTTGCCGTTGGTGTTTCTCACGCTAGCCTAAAATCAAAGCAAAATCACAATCAAGTTTGATTTTAACATTTCAGTGGGGATTTCACCTGCATTTAGAAAAATCAAGAGACTAACAAAGACGTTGGGGGATGGGTAGTGAGCACACAGGGGAGGGAATAAAATCTCAAGGTAGTTCACTCTGTTCAAATTTATCAAACACTAGAACTTTGGTGTTACCATCACCAGAGTAGCTGGATATTTTATTTTATTTTATTTTGGATATTTTAAAATATGAACATAAGCCCAATTAGTAATTGTTACTTTGGTTGACATGGATTTGAGTTTGTGATAGGAGGCACCCTATTCAGCTTTTACTATAAGCTCCCTGTTACATGTTTGCACAGTCTGCTCCTTATACAAGAACAATGGGTTCATATGGAAAAATGCGTTACAGAGTCATCAATAAAGGAGAAGTTGGAAAATTTTCTGAACTATGTGAAATAAAATGAAACTAAACTGAATTTGAGCAACCATACACCAAGAAAAATTATTTAATAAAGAAGGCAAAAAAAAAAAATTAAAATGTTAAAAACTGAAGTTGGTGTAAAGCTAGAAAGAGACCTGTATGTATATTTTTCCATAATCTGATCCAGTTACAAAAGTAGGTTTGTAACTTCAGTCCTGTTACTGTTACTTTTTGACATTATATTGGAAAAAAATCTCCAGGACTGTGCCAGTTCTCCATGTTCTAGGCTTCCCTGGTGGCTCAGTGGTAAGGAACCCACCTGCCAATGCAGGAGATGCAGGTTAAGTCCCTGAATCAGGAAGAACCCCTGGAGGAGGAAATGGCAACCCACTCCAGTACGCTTGCCTGGAAAATCCCATGGACAGAGGAGCCTGGTGGGCTACAGTCCATGGGGTTGCAAAAAGTCAGACACGACTGAGCATATACATAGTTGTTCCAAGCAAGAGCTCCCTTCCAGGCCAAGTGCTTACAACTGTTATTAGACTTCTCCCCCGCCACATCTTCCTGCCCTCCCCATCCCAACGTGGCCTACCACCATTTCAGAAGGGGTGAATTTCTTCCTCCTGTGAATCCCCATTGCATTTGTTGAATAGGGACACTTGATCATATACCACGTTTGTTATTTAACCTCATCTCCCTAAATGACTATAAGCTCCCTGACGGCAGAAGCTGTGCTGTATGTGTGTGTGTTAGGTGCTCAGTCATGTCCGACTCTTTGAGAGTCCATGATGCGTGTGTTATATCCCAAGGGAGAATACTGGAACTGGTAACCATTCCCTTCTCCAAGGGATCTTCCTGACCCGGGGCTCAAACCCGGGTCCCCTGCATGGCAGACAGATGCTTTACCATCTGAGCCACCAGGGAAGCCCAGAAACTGTGTTACAGTTCCCCAAACTCTATCACCCACACTACTTAGATAACTGTGCATGGGATACATTCATTCATGGAATATTGATTGTGCCCCTACTATGCACCAGGCAGACACAGTCAGTGCCTGACAGAGATTATAACTGAGTAGCGAATACATGAAGCCCAGGAAGAGGCAATTACTGTGCTGCAGGATAAGTGCTATGACAGAGGAAGCACAGACGCCGAATGAACATTGCCAAATAACAGACACACCAGCCTGACTTCACTATCTGGGCTTTCAGATCCTATTTCCAATGTATGAGAAGAGGATGATTACTTTAAGAAACTCATTTTCTCGAAGCACGTGGAGCACCCAGGCAGGTTAACATCCAAAACCCAGGAGGCGTATGAAGACAAGTCAGTACTGGGTTATGCGTGTGTTTTTGTGCTTACACACACACACACACACACACACACACAATGTAGCAGAAGTCTTGTTTGTTATTATACAGGCCTCTCTGCAAATGCCTAATTGCCCTGGAGGAGAATTTCATTTTATACCTGTGTGCCGTGTGAGGTTTTAGAGCAACTATGGGTTAGGAATGCTTCTAAGGAAACTTCAGTTCTTTCTTTTTCCACTCAAAATTTAATTTCCATCCCTAGGAGCATTAGTTCTATAAGCCTAGGAGTTTCACATCTCACAGTCACCAGGGATAAGATCAGTGAGAAAGGCTTGTTATAAATCTAAAATGTCAATTCAACTGGAAAATCCTTTATCAAAAACAATTAGAAGTTTACAGTCCACTTTTCAAACTAAAAAATGTTTCTTTTGATTTAAGAATATTCAAATATCACCTGAAGTCTCCATTTAGAGTTTCTACCAAGATTCACAATTAAGAAATGGAGTTCTCTTTCATTAAATAGTGGGGGGAAACAGAACCTGAAACATACAGGCTTTCCACTTTTCCCTCTTTGCCTTGATTTTCTTATAAGGATAAAATGTACTCAAACTAAAATATCTTTCATCAAAACCCTTACAAGTCTGCTATGAAAATATGTACAGATAGGTACATTTCTGAAAATCCAGGCTCCAGATCCAAATTAAATTTTCAATCAATATGCAGCATGATCTTGTATCTGAATCAGCAGCAGTGTCTCATTTCAGACTTATGCAATGCAATAAATATCTCTCATATGCTAAAGAAGCAAATGGATTCTGTTCTTTATCAATAAGCATCTCTCCCTGTAGTCTATGGACCCAACTTTTCCCACAAGTCCTTGATCCTCAGAAGAAGCTGTAACAGATGCAAGTATGGTAGGAAGGAAGCCCTCAGCCTGTGGCAAATAAGGCACTGTACCCCTTTTGTGTCATCCTTGGACACTTTGTCCCTCTTTTAGCATAAGGGCTGCAGTGTCCAACCAGAAGCATAAAAGAGACTACAAGACAAAACAGGGGCAATGGAGAAAGAATTCAAAATGTCAATTTATCACTTCTTATTCTAAGTGAAGCAAGTCTCTCTTGCCTTGAGTTCATTATTCTCACTAGCAACTAAGCCATCATTTGATTTGGGCACACCAATCCTATGTAAAGTCTTATAGCTACAAATAGGACCTGCAGCCAGAACTAGATCAGGAAGGGAGAATATCTGCCCTCGTGCTTAACAAGAGAAACCCAATTTGCCTTCTTTCCCTTATCATCTGTATTCAAAGACTATTACACTAAGATTCACTTACATAAAGTCACACACACACAAAAAAAAACAAACAAAAAGCCCTCCCTTTAAATATGGGAGGCTTTATCACATTACTTAAAAATTAGGCAGATTCCTTTTGCTTATGATATTCCTATAGGATATACTAACAAGGGAAAGCCTATGAATTTTTCTGTAATTTTAAAATATACATATATTTTAGGGCATCCACCATTCATTCTCAGTTCATTTTAGTCTTGAAAAATATTGACCACACACTATGAAACCATTAAACACTAATAGCTGCAGACATACCAGACAATGACAGCAAAAACACACTTGGTCCCTCTGGGATCCGTTCATGAACATCCCTTTCCAGCCTGGCAAACACGCTCCTCCCCACAGCAGATGCTGTTCTGGGGCAGACAAGCAGGAAGCTAGAGGCAACACCTGGTCTTTCCCACTGGACGTATCATTTCTTACTGTCTCATCATCAAGTCTTTTCACCCACACTGTGAAGATTTTATAACACCAGGAGACTGTCGGATTAAAGACACCTTGCAACAGCGAGAGGGAGTGATGCGCAAATGAGGAAGCAAGAAAGACTCTTTTAATATCTAAGGTCATACCACCTTTGTCATTGGATTTTCCAGTTCCGTTGTCAGCACGAGAAAATCCAGTGTGCTTGTGTGATCAAATAAGCTAACTTAGTACTTTGTGTCAATTTTAAAAGTGAGATCAAGGTAGTGGAAGGAATACATACCACAGAAAGCAAAACTGCTACATCCAAACTGTCTGACCCCTATAATCCAATGGCTCCAAAGTGGAGTCGGAAGCTGGCGAGCTCATCCATGAGCATGAGCATCACTGTCTAGATGTACAACACAAACACTCACCTAAGGCAGAAAATTTACAGAAGCCTCTCTTGAGAGTCATGGCCCTTCCTGCAACCATTTTAACACATGCATCAGCATTCTGTGAGATCTTCCGGGGTCTGACAACTGGCAGACGAGGGGCAGAGGGAGAAATCAGACCTCGGACTGGCAATGCCTGGTGCACTTAGACCCAATTTCCTTCTGTCTAAACTGTGGCCTGTCCCATAGGACTTAGCCTGCCTCTGTCAAGTCCTTTCATAAAAGTTACTGTCAACACATCAAGGCAGGGAGGGCGGCTGGACAGACGCTGTGGATCTCTGCAGCAAAGACAGCCCATGTAAACAACCTTGTGACTGCTTCAGCGCCAACTGCCATGGGATAAGCCATTCTTTTGCTGTGGTTAAATTGCAGTACCCTAGGAATTTATGCATTTAAGGGGGTGAAAGCAGAAACTCAGTCTCTAGATTTAAATGAAGAGAAGAGGGGGAGAAAAAAAAGAAATATGCATGTAATTTTCTTGAAATGGCTCTCGTCTTGATTTACTTGAAGATTTTCCAATAAATCACATTTATTTTGCTGCAGGCACAAAGACATCAATTCTGCTAAATATACTGCCCTGGTCCTTTCTGATGATAGATCTTTTTCTCCCAAATGAGCTCTGACATTTCTAGGGGACACGGTATCCCAGTACAGAGTACCTGGGAACCATGCCATAAAGAAAAAAATGCTGCCTGCTGTTGACTAGATCACTTTCTTAAAGGGACCCTTTACCCGTACGACTGCAGTGCCAATGTTGCCTCTTATCTTTAACCTGACCCTCCCCACTGCCCGTTCTATGTTCCTCTCCCCAGCTCAGATTTAGCCTTGGGTCTCTCTGCAAGAGTAATGCTGTTAGTTTTACAACTACAATATAAAAAATACCATTCCCTAACTAAAATATGTAAATATGCCCCCAAATATCTCTTCAAGCACAACATCTCATGAAGTAAACATAAATGCATAACTTAAAGAGGTGATTTTTTAAATGTTTTTTGGAACCCACAGCATTTCTGAAATATGGGACTGAGGCAAGCACTTCTAACAAGCACAGCTGTTTCACTCTCTAATTTTCTCTTCTTTTTTGCAGCTCTGCCTTGGTCTAAAAAACCCCTGGTCACAATAAAAATGTTCCCTCCCACCCTCTGCCAACCCTCACTCCAAACAGAAAGGTTTCAACACGCCCAAGTCCTGGGAGAGATGCTCGGCGCAGAAGGAAAGGCTGGTGGCTTCTCGCCTCAGAGGTAGTTCACTTCATTAATCTCCTATCCACCCCATCTCTGCCCCGCTCTCCCATGCTCACTCTCCCGCCCCACCAGGAGCAATCAATAGACATCACACCACCCTCCAAAAAACCGGTTAGAACCCAGAATGAGCAAAGAGCCACCTACCATTCCGTGCTTGAGAACTACGATCCTGATCCAGCAGTGTTTGCCCCAGAAATCCTCCCTACTTGTCTCTCATTAACCACATTCCAAACTAATAAGGAATAGATTCTTTGGAGGTGGGGAAATTGTTTAAAATTAATGATGGACAGGTGATTGCCAAGAAAACCCAAACGTAAAGTCACTCAAGCCCCTAGGAATTGAGGGGTGAGGAGAAAAATGGAATACTGTAAAAACGAAAAAGAAAAGAAAAAAGGTAAGCTCAGAACAAGCACCAACCACCCCCATAAAAATAAAAAGAGAAGGGGAGGTTTAAAAAAAAAGAAGATGAAGAAGAAGACGAAGAGTGGCTTGCTGAATCACCCTCTTTCACTGCCTGGAAACCATTGTGCAGCGCGATGCTGCCTGTACCATTGTGGAACCTACCAGAGGAGACGGACAGAGGGCTTGGGGAATGGGGTTGCTATGGCAACCAAAAGGAGCACACGTGACGTCAAAGCCCAGAGAGGTCTAGGGAGGGGGGGAGAAGGGGGAAAGGAGAAGAGGAAAAAGTCTCTGTGCGTCTGCTGCTACCGTGTTTTCCGATGAAATGAGGACCTGGCGAAATGAAAAGGAGCAGGGTTCGTTGGCGGCCGTTCTCAGCACCTAGGACATCAGGCAGCCGGTCTGCGCAACGGAAACCGCTCTCTCTCCACGCAGCCCTGGCCCTGCACACGGCAGCGCTCAAAAAACAAATGCTTGCAGACCCAAACACCATTGGAAATGTACTCAATCTATGCTTTTCAACTCGCTCAGCTTTTTGCAAACAGCACAAAGGCATGTCGTGCCTCTAACTGTCAAAGCAAACAAGGATGGTAATAACCTCGGAGGCCAAGGGAGCATTTGGGTCCCACCTGGACCCCAGAGGTCATTTGAAATGTCACAATCCTTCTTGTCTGTTTCCTTATCTTTCAGAAAAATCCTAAATAAATGCCTACTAAACCAAAGTCAGCAAACTAATTCTGAGATTGCAGCTTGGATTTAGAAAGAAAATACTGATAATTTGAGTTAACAAATCTAGATTTTTTTTTTTTAATTGGGTAATTCTTTAGAAAATGGATACAAGTTGCATTATTACTATTTGGGCTAGATATCTCAATTTTATTTAAGTAATTTGTCCTATCTTTGACTGTCAGAGTATATTTTTGTCTCCATGTATTAATAGTTTGTTAAATGTTAAATATAGGTGCTTAAATATAGATGTCATAGATTACTAAATCTAGGGTATTAACTATAAATATTAGGTTTCTAGAGTGAGAGTTCAGAATAATGGAATACTCCCACAATTTTTTTAATTATCTTTTTTTTTTTAACCTGTTAATATTTTTTAACTAAGGAAATTTCTCAATACATATTTGGCCTAACCAGGCTCAACCCTTGGGCATCTCAGGTTACATAATTGAATCAAATTCCTTTTTTTGCTTAAATAACTTTGAGGTGAGCTTCTGTGTATTGCAACCAAGTAAGACTGAGTTTTATACCACTTAACACTATGTTTTAGAACTAGCATACATACATGAATAAGGAACTTCTTCCACATGTTAACAGAAAAGATAACAACTTGCAACAGATACAAACCAAGCAATGATTGATTCACTGAAACACATCATAAAACCATATGGGACCACATCAGATTACCTCATTTTAGCAGGGAAACTAGGGGGAAAAAAGTCTTGTGTGTTTTCTTTTTCATCCTCTGGACAAGATTTTGCACATATTGCTTTGTTCTAATGTCAAGTTCAGCAAGAAGCAGTTGATTATTAATTTTTAGTCTTGGCAAAGGACCTACAAGACAAGTTTGTCTCAAGGGAAAATATGTATTGACAAGCCAAATGACTTTATAGCACAATATAATTGGCATTCCAGCTTTTAATTTACTTTATTCTAAGTTTTGATATCAAAAGTCAACTCTTAATAACTGGATATCAATGAGGGAAAAATGAACTTCAACTCCTACCACACACTGCAAACATAAAAATTAATTCAAGGTAAATTTACACTGAAACATGAATGCCAAAATATATAAAGCTATTAGAATAAAATGTATCTTTCAGAAGAAAAAAAATAGCTTTCTGTTCTCAGAACAGGCAAAGATTTCTTAGGACACAGAAAGTACTCACCATAATAGGAGGGAAAAAAAAATAGACTCGATCAAAATCAAAAGCTTCCAAAATAACCATTAAGAAAATGAAGAGACAGCCTCAGGCTAGAAGAGAATATTCTTGATAAACATGTCTGAAAATACTCTTGATAGTCACAATTTCTAGATTTTTTTAAAAATATCCCACAACTCAACAATAAAAAAATTTTGTTCAATGGGCAAAAGTCTTGAGCAGGCATTTGACAAAGAAAGATATATGTATGGTCAATAAGTACATTAAAAAGTATTCAACAGTATTAAAAATAGTATTAATAACAATATTAAAGAGTATTAAAAAGTTTAAAAAAAAGTATTCAACAGAATTGGTCATCAGAGAAATGCAAATTAAAACTGCATAAATGCCATTTCACACTCACAAAAAAAATTGACTAAAACTGGAAAAACTAACAGCACTAAGTACTGAGGAGGATATGGAGAAATCAGAACTCTCCTACATCACTTGTGGGAGTATTAAATGGTAAAACTACTTTGGGAAATGATTTGGTGGTTTCTAAGATAAGTATATACCTACAGTATGACTCAACAACTCTATTCATGGTCACCTAAGAGAATAGAAATATTTGTCTATCAAAAAAAGTTATACATAAATGTTTATGCCAGCTTTATTTATAATTGGTGAAAACGGGAAACAACTCAAAGTATATCAACGGAAGAATGGGTAAGCAAACTATGGTATATTCATATAATAACACACTGTATCAGCAATGAAGAAAGAATGTTAACTATGAACATGTTAAAAACAATATATCTTCTATTAGGTGTTCATTCTTGATTTCACAAATGACAGTGGTAGATGCCAACACTGCACTGGGGTATATTTTACTAGGGCTTTAATACTCCACCTACTCATTTCAGTAATATTTAGATGATTAAAATGTTCTTTTAAGTCTATTTTATATAGCATAGAAAAAATAATCTCCTAAAATTAGATCATCTATTACAAGCTAATTTTTAACACTTAAATATATTTCATTCCTTATTGGATAAAACCAAAACTCTCCATTTAAAGTCCTCAGCAAGAGAATATACACTTTGAGAAGGAACTACGGAAATATGCAACAATATAAATAAATCTCAAAAACATGCTATGTTAAAAAAAATAAAAGAAAAGAGTGTTTAGTATATAAATCCATTTATATAAAGCTCTAGGACAGACAGAAATATTCTATGGTGATAGAAATCAGAACTATGATTGAGGGAGTCACACAGCTGAGGGAAATTTATGTAGTGATGAAAATATTCGACATCTCGATAGAGGTGTGAGTTATTACGTAGATATAAGCATTTGTCAAAACTCTTCAAATTCTAACTCTTAAGATCAGTGCATTCACTCAGTGTAAATTAAGTTGCTGTTTTCAAAAAATTAAAGTCAATTCCCAAGAAGAAAATTGCTGAGAGAACAATAAGTTAGAGCTCCTAAACCTACAAATCTGGTCCTATACCTGAGTCCTGACTTTACAAACCCAAGCAAACCAATAGAAGAAAACAAGAGAATGGAAAATACTAGAGATCCTTCAAGAAAATAAGAGATACCAAGGGAACATTTCATGCAAAGATGGGCACAATAAAGGACAAAAATAGTATGGACCTAACAGCAGCAGAAGATATTAAGAAGAGGTGGCAAGAATACACAGATCTACACAAAAATGATCTTAATGACCCAGATAACCACGATGGTATGATCACTCACCTAGAGCCAGACATGTCGGAGTGTGAAGTCAGGTGGGCCTTAGGAAGCATCACAACAAACAAAGCTAGTGGAGGTGATGGAATTCCAGCTGAGCTATTTCAAATCCTAAAAGATGATGCTGTGAAAGTGCTGCACTCAATATGCCAGCAAATTTGGAAAACTCAGCAGTGGCCACAGGAGTGGAAAACGTCAGTTTTCATTCCAATGCCAAAGAAAGGCAGTGCCAAAGAATATTCAAACTACCAAACAATTGTGCTCATTTCACATGCTAGCAAAGTAATTAATGCTCAAGATTCTCCAAGCAAGGCTTCAACAGCACGTGAACCAAGAACTTCCAGATGTTCAAGTTGGATTTAGAAAAGGCAGAGGAACCAGAGATCAAATTGCCAATATCCATTGGATCATAGAAAAAACAAGAGAATTGCAGAAAAACTTCTGCTTCATTGACTACCCTAAAGCCTTTGACTGTGTGGATCACAACAAACTGTGGAACATTCTTAAAGAGATGGGAATACCAGAACACCTTACCTGCCTCCTGCTAAATCTGTATGCAGCAACAGTTAGAACTAAACATGGAACAATGGACTGGTTCCAAATAGGGAAAGGAGTATGTCAAGGCTGTATGTTGTCACCTTGCTTATTTAACTCATATGCAGAATACATCATGCGAAATGCTGGGCTGGATGAAGCACAAGCTGGAATCAAGATTATAGGGAGAAATATCAGTAACCTCAGATATGCAGATGACACCACCCTTATGACAGAAAGTGAACAGGAACTAAAGAGCCTCTCGAAGGTGAAAGGGAGAGTGAAAAAGCTGACTTAAACCTCAACATTCAGAAAACAAAGATCATGACATCTGGTCCCATCACTTCATGGCAAATAGGTGGGGAAACAAAGGAAACAGTGACAAACTTTATTTTCTTGAGCTCCAAAATAGCTGCAGATGGTGACAGAAGCCATGAAATTAAAGGAAGCTTACTCCATGGGGAAAAAAGCTATGACAAACCTAGTCAGCATATTAAAAAATAGAGACGTTACTTTGCCAACGAAGGTCCATATAGTCAAAGCTGTGGTTTTTTCAGTAGTCATGTATGTATGGATGTGACAACTAGACAGTAAAAAGGGCTGACGCCTTCGAACTGTGGTTTTGGAGAAGACTCTTGAGAGTCCCTTGGACTGCAAGGAGATCAAACCGGTCAATCCTTAAAGAAATCAATCTTAAATATTCACTTGAAGGACTGATGCTAAAGCTGAAGCTCCGATACTTTGGCCACCTGATGAGAAGAGTCGACTCACTGGAAAAGACTCTGAGGCTGGGAAAGATTGAGGGCAGGAGGAGAAGGGAACAGCAGAGGATGAGATGGTTAGATGGCATCACTGACTCAATGGACATGAATTTGAGGAAGCTTCGGGAGGTGGTGAAGAACAGGGCAGCCTGATGTGCTGCAGTCAATGAGGTTTGCAAAGAATCAGACATGACTGAGCAACTGGACAACACAACAAAGCAGACCAAGAAATAGAAACAGCTGGACTCCAGGTCACCAGGATCTTAACACATGGAGCAATCCCTCTGCAGTGAGGAAGACAATTGATGGAGATTTGCCTAACAAACAAGAAATGAGATGTTTAAAAAAGAGATTTTTAAGGACGCCTGGCAAGAGCTAAATTCCCAGCTTCCTCTGTAAGGATTATTATTCAGCTACAGGACTAAAACTGAAGGAAATGAAGGTGATCAATACCTGGTTTTCCAAACAATAAATGGCAAAGACCTCAGGGATTGGAGAACATAAAGGAATTAAGTCAGTGAGATTGGACTTCCAAGTAGGAATTTAATTTCTAAATCTAAGTCTCAAGTACATTCATGGGGGCTAACTGTAAAACCAATTTCTGTAGTAAGGTCTTTTGGGCTTCCCTTGTGGATCAGCTGTTAAAGAATCCGGCTGCAATACGGGAGATGTGAGTTCGATCCCTGGGTTGGGAAGATCCCCTGAAGAAGGGAAAGGCTACCTCCTCCAGTATTGTGGCCTGGAGAATTCCATGGATTATATAGTCCATGGGGTCACAAAGAGTCG